ATATTGCATGTCGCGTTCGCAGTTTCACGTTACTATCGTTGCGAAATCTGCATAATGCATTCTATGTATTTAATCGCGCAAATTTCGTTATTCTCGGATCACGCGTTGTCGCGCGTTACGATATTTTAAATTTTATCCGACCAAGCGGTATTCCCAGTAATAAGCAGGCAAGAGGAAATTTTTATTCTCCCGAGAAAGTAATCGCGGACGATGCTATAACGAGATGAAAGAATGCCCTGTGTAATAAGCAGTACTGACCGCATTTATAGATGTTCGATAAAACATATATCTCTCATCTTGGTAGTTTTTCCATGTTCGCTGCTTCTCTTTGAGCAAATTATCCCCAGGACGACGATGTAACGATGACGACAGACAAAGGGGAATGTATTTTTGCTATATTTTTGGTAAGGAATGTGATTTACTACGTTAAACAGCTTCACGTAATAGCCGTAATCTAAGTCTTGGGACATAAACATTTTTCGAAGTGTACACTAAGATTTCTATTGTACGTTGCGATCTCTTTTTGTCGAAATCTTGAACATGACGATAGCCGAGAAAGGCGAAAAATTGATAAAATTTGCGCGTTAAACATTACCCCGAGGAATTCATTTTCCTACGTTAGCGCAGGAGTCTCGATTAGTTTGCCGAAGGAAAAACTTTGATTGCGACGAGGAAATTATATGGACGTCTGTGATTACGGAACGGGAAATTATTCCCATGACATCGAAGCTCGCGGCATAGCCGCTCAAGTAGTCGGAGATGTTGTAAATTTTGGAGGACGATCGCGTACTTCTTCTCTAACGAGAGAGAGAGAATCGTGCTCGCCGATGCCAACGGACAGGATTGTGTTTCTCTTCAAAAAAATATATTTCTTTGCTGTACTTTGGCGCGCGCGCGCATAGATTCTTATTCCCTCGGCGTGAATCACGACGAGTGATCCGTGCGACGCTATTAAATGCATTAACGTGATTCCAAAATCATTAGCAATGTAGCGATAATAATGTTATAATGGAGGAACATTGAGGAGAGCCCCTCTCTCTCTCTCTCTCTCTCTTTCTCCCTTAACGCGACGATAATAGCATTAATTTCCCGATGCTGATTGTGCAACGTAATTTGCGGAACGGTCAAAGGAAAAAAAAATTCCATTTGTCTTCGTATTCGTCCACCTCATCGCGTACAATACGGTTAGTCGGACCATCGTCGTCTCTCACAAAGGGCGGCAACAAACCGGCTCTAATGAAATCATTATCCCGCGTTAATCATATCGAGGATCGTGATATTGTGTTACGAATCGGACACGAATCATGATAAACAGGAGAGCGCGGCGAATGCATCGAAAATATGAGATCACCACCACGCCGCTGCGTGGATAAATACTTTTCTGTCTATCCGTTTACCCGCGATCGTTCGCACAGGCGAGATGAAACTGTCCGTTCAACTAATAGGAGAAAAATCACCGTAACAGAATTACGAATACTGCGTCCGAGACAAAACTTTACTCCTAACGCAAAGTCCAACGCGCGCGAGGCATATATAGGCATTAAATTTGCTTTCAAATAACGATAAAAATTGTCGCGATTTAACGAGAACGAACGCGCGCTGCGGAAGCTCTACCGTACCGTTAGCGGTTAGTGGTTACTACTTACGGCATCGCGACGCGCGTAATAGACAAGATCGTTTAAAAACTACTGCCCGCGCTGCTCTGGCGGTGACGGCGACGGCGACGACGATGGCAAAGCTAACGAGAAGGGGGAATTAATTGTGCCGTAATTTCATTAGTAAACACGAAATCCCGAAGACTAACGCTCGGTCTCTCTACCGCGTTTATATCACACTAGTTGCGTTTAATGAAATTACATACACACGCTGCACGCGAATACGATACTCATCGCCGTTAAATTACCGTGACTAAGCAATCGACACGACGATTTTCATGACAAAGTTTTTATCTCTGAAAGTTTCGTTGCTAGAGTTGCGATGCAAAATGAGCCTGTCGCGATTATACGCGGTATTTACGGATATATTAGCAAGTATAATAACTGCTGCGCTAAAAGCTCGCAAGCACAACAAACGATGTTATTGGATACTGACTGACTCATATACTCTGGTATATTTTCGTAAAAATGTCACCGCGATTTCGCAGCCGATGTTTCGATGAGGAATAGTAATATTTCGTGATAAAGTAGGTTATCGTAACGAGACGTCGTAATATACGTCCGATCGATTCCTGAATTTATAATATATTCATGAGTACGCACGTACGCACATTTGTCGTAATTTGTCGTTTTTTCGTTGTCACTTTCGATGTATTGATGACTTAAATCGCAAGCGCAATATCGCCGCAACCTGGTAGTTTTTTTACTATTCACCTAAACCCACGCTCTTTGCGCGCAACTGTGCTCGTAAAATACTCGTGTACTCCTCTCCGAATTATCGCAATTATCGCGAACGTTGATTGAACGTTGGATTGTTCGGCAAGGTGTATCTCGTGAACTCGACGCCATTGACATGGCGCAACGTTGATAGCGTAATATTTACACAAATATGGAATTCCACTCACGTTCGACATACGTCGAAGTCGGTGGTGTTGTAAAAATGGAATTTTTCTCGTGGAAATTTTATAGCATCGAGATGGGATTCGTCGAGCCGTGATAACTTTTATCGCGCGTCTCGAGGTGCTACGCGTTCGATCGTAATCGAAACATTATTGTACATTTATATAAATCCGCCGTTGGCCATTCCTTACTAAATACATTTCGTAAGTCGGTTAAATATGCCTACCGCGTTCGTCCCTTCATCCGCGTGTATACATACGTATACCCGCAATTTATAATAATTATTTCGATTTTAGCGATCGCTATTACACACCGCGAGACTTATTAATGGCACCATTAATCTGTAGTGCAATTAATAATCGCAATCGTGCCGGCAAATTTCAGCGCCGTGCGCATTCTCTCTATTGTTAGCGACATATAATATATCGCAGCTATCGCGGCCTATCGACAATCAAATAATAAATTTCCGGCAGTAAACGTATACACGTGCATGGTAATTGCGTTGTAAAAAAGCTGTGTCTTATTCTTTCGCCATCTGCCCACATTACAAACGAGAGAGAGAGAGAGAGAGAGAGAGAGAGAGAGAGAGAGAGAGAGAGAGAGAGAGAGAGAGAGAGAGAGAGAGAGAGAGAGAGAGAGAGAGAGAGAATGACAGAGACAGAGACAGAGAGAGAAAGAGAGAAACTGCCGTACATAACGTAGAAGCCGAAGGAAGAGCGACGATAACGATGTACGACGATTTATACGTTGAACTGACCTAAGGACGTCGCGACTAAAGAAAGAAAGTGGACGCTTCGGCGGAAATGTGACAAATGTATGTTCTTTTTGTCCAGAAAGTTTATACGAAGAGACGGGTTACGAATGAGACGCATATTTTTCAAAGGACAACTTTGACTATATGGACTATGGAACATAGAACCGACTTCCAGCCGACTGACGCGATTTCAGGGATAATCGTTCCGCCTTAGGCGGTCCGAGAATTTTTATTTCGTTTCCATTTTTCTTAGAGCACGCGCGTTTATTTTCCCACCGCGCTACCACAACCGTGTTGCGCCGCGGCGAAGTAGGAGAAGACCGAGAGGAGAGACGTACGCAAAACAAACCACCCCGCGAAAACCACGCATTCAGCGGCGTAATTGAAGCTTCGAATAACACCGCTGCACCTTTGTGCTCTACGGGCTAGTAGTTGCGGCTCGGGTCGTTACATGACGGTATATCAAACTTTGTCAAAGTATTTCGGTTCTCTCTCTCTCTCTCTCTCTCTCTCTCTCTCTCTCTCTCTCTCTCTCTCTCTCTCTCTCTCTCTCTCTCTCTCTCTTTCGTCACTTGATCCGCAACTGAAAGGCGAGGCGTCACGTTAAAATCAAATGTCGGCTTAACGGCGCAATCTGCAGACATTACGTGTCAATAAAGGCGCAATGCAGCTGCATAAAATTTCTATCCAGTTTTACGCGGATTATGCGCGACACATACGGCGATAATTTATGCGACGCATCGAAACGAGTTATGAGTTTGTGCGATAGCTCTCCGTCGTTACACCGTCGCACGTAAAACTGTATTTTCACAACTGTAACGCTCACATGGAACTTGTGTTCGCGACACGCGACCACGCTCGCGAGAGAGTTAATGCCAACATTGAGGATTGAGCGCGTCATTTCTTTTTGTCACATTAATCTTAAGCTTGACAAGTGATTTATTGCAGTACGTTGCAGAGAGTACGATCATCTGTAAAAATGATTAACGGTTAGTAACTCGCACGTTGTTACGTTACGTTTGCCAAAGCAAGAACCAACGCAAGGCCAAGATTAATCGAAAGTCATAATTTCTCACTGAAATAACGTTGTTTCGTTAAATCCAACAATCACTGTGCACATAGCGACGCAAACGTCCGTCTCAATCTCCCGATTGATGGATGAATCCAACGCGTTCCCCGTTTACATTAACGGCCAATTAACGACGATTGCACTATAAATTCCAATAAAACACCTCGATCCACACTCTCGATCCGCATTAACCCTTTGCGTCGCGGCTATCAACGTTACGCTCGCAAACACACTGTATCGCGCGTTTCAGCATGCGACGTTGACGCAGCATTGGCGAGCAATTATTACGCGTGACAGATCTAACGATCGCAAACTATTTAACATAATGTCGCGCGTGACATCAATTTTTCATCCCCCTTCTTGTTTGCGAGCAGATAATTACCGTGCTTAACGTGTAAAATAACACGTCGCGCGCAAAGTATCGATACGATACGATACGATTGAAATAAATCTCGAAACGGCGCGATAACACAAACTATATAGCCGATGTAATTTGCCTCAGAGTTCCAAGGGAAAAAAAAAAAAGTATTCCTTAATGTTTCCGCAAAGTCACACTCTAATGTCACACGAGGATGAAAAATCCGCGCGAAAGGAGAACGCGAAGATTTAAACGGCGACTCACCTGCAAACTGTGCGCTTTCTCGTGGGAGTAGAGTCCAACTTATCGAAAAGTTTCAATCGTCGAAGATGCGAAGGAAACGACGCACCAGCGATGTAACCGTTACGCGATGACAGAGTTACGTGTGCGCAACGGTGGGAACACAGAGAGAACGAGAGAGAGAGAGAGAGAGAGAGAGACAGAGAGAGAGAGACAGAGAGAGAGAGAGAGAGAGAGAGAGAGAGAGATAGAGAAAAAGAGAGCGCGATTGGACCGGTCGTGCGATCTGTATGACGGACAGATGAAGCACAAAGTGCGCACTGCGAGCACGAGCTTCTCCTCTTTATACCCTCGAACTTGCACCTGTGCTTGCGCAGGTCCCTTAAGCTCCGTCGTTCGCTCGTTTCCTTCGTCCGCTGTCCGCGACACAGAGCTTCGCGTCTGCGAGTAATAGTGATGCGTTCGCTTGGTCCTCTCTCTCTCTCTCTCTCTCTCTCTCTTTCTCTCCGCTGACATTTCTCTTGACTGCGTGATATTTCGCAAAATAATAATTGAGTGCACGCGTGCACACACACACACACAGGTGCGCGTGCGCGCGCGCACGTGAGCGGTACAAATTATTTTGATCCCAATTCAGGCGGAACGTTAAATTTCTCGTCGCAACATTTTTTTGTAGAATTTAATTTGTCAAATTTAGAAGCTCTTCGATTGTTTCGATTGTTTCGATACGTTCCGCGGTACATTTGTAAATGAATATTGATTGCAATAATGGAGATAAAAGTCGAAGAGATATATACCACCACATACATAATTGACGCTAGTGTGCCCGAAGTGTGTTTGTTTTGTGAATTATTTATGTAAGGGGGACATGTAAGCCCCGCGTCGATAAAAGCCAAAAGGTAGGACTGAGAGGACCCTGGTGATCCAAATTTGCTCGCATGCGAATCGTTCGCGAGCGGGTAAACCGACGCGGGGTCAATAGCAGGGGTGCAATAGCAATACATTACGCATTTCCATGATTGAAGATCCGTTGGGACATCTATTGCGCGGAATTTCGTGTGCGGTGAAAACGCGTCCGATCGGAGTCGTAATGGGGATTTCCGAGCGACAACGTTATTTTACATACAATTTGATAGCGACTGTATTTGATAGCACACGATTCATATCTGCCCGTCAAGGAGGGCGTATACTACTTGATGCGATACTTGAACCGCAAATTGCTGCTACGCAAAACTCAAGGTGCAAGGTGACAGTTGGACGAGATAAAATTCGAGCCAACAAGCCCAGTTCGCGAGTCTCGGAGGATCGCCGATTTGCGATTGCTGAGTCGGCGGCGTCGAAGGAACAACCGAACATAAAGAAATCGCGATCATATCGAGCTTCTCTCGACGTGACCCTCCGATTTCTCACTCCCTTCTTTGCTCGCACAAATGCTGATACGACAAGCTCTCGAAATCCGCTCGCGTTGGCCTGTCACGTGTTAATGCTTCTTTATATAGGTATACGCGAGATGAACTCTCTCCCCTCTTATCATCGTCGTCGTCGTCGTCATCGAGACGGAGGATGTCAAATACTTTTTCTCTTTTTTCTTTAATCGAGTCAACCGTTTCACTTGCTTTCGCGTGAGCTGTATAGCTATAGGTAAAATTTTTCGAATAACAGTGACATCATGTTATTCGTGAAGGAAACAACATTTCGGGTGCATTGTCCGAAAAGTACGAGAAGGAGGAAGGAAAGAACAAAGACTGAAGGAGTACACGCTACTACGCCGCATATCGTACACGATAACGATCAGGTAAGGCGTTCTCACGAGGTAAGGCGGACAGAGATGCCCATCTAGAGACTTCTTATCTAACCTCGTAATATCGCCTCTGACAGCAAAATTGCACGAGCCACAACTTTTCTTCATAATGTCACGCGCCTCGCGTCAGTAGTCGTAGTTCCTACTGTGCGCGCGACTACTGACGACACTATCGACGCCCGCTAGATATCGACCCGCTAACTGTAATAACTGTCGCTGACGCCATTTGCGTTTTATTTGAGTTTTTCCACGAGAATGGATGATGATCATTTTTCCATCGATTTACTCATGATAGAAAGGCGATAGAAAGTCTATTGCAGATGCTTCAGACTGCGAGCAAAAATTGCGAGAAATTGAAATTTCTCCTTTCTATTTAACTCCCAAAACAGCGGGTTTTCTCCCTTTCTTTGCTTTGTGCTTTGATTGGAGAAGATGCGGAATGATCCTGTTTATGTTAGGTTCCGATAGATTTCATTAGATTTAGAACCATTGTCTGTGTTGATTTAAAAGTAATAAGGACGTTTTTTCTTCACTTCACACTCGAACGTTATCCTGAAATGATGTAGATTTTTCTATGCGAGAATCTCGCGTACCATAATATGGTCATCATTTTTCACGTTCGATAGTATGGTAACGTTCTACGTTGTCAGAGGTTCGAACATACCAGTCACCAGTGATGTTATCCCGAGAGTTACATTTATCGCCAGAGAGTCTCTGGCTTTTATCGACTGTGAAATTTGCAACAAAAATGTCCCGCCTGTGTACGAGCCTGTGCCGTTGTCGTCGTTGCTGATATCATATCCGAATTGCCGAATACAAAAGAGCGACATTTAAATGATACTTGATAAAGCGACATCACGGTAACGGTATTTGAAAATATATCTTTTTACACACACATGTCTCCATAAAGAATCATCTCATTTTTCGTAAATGAGATGGACCAAACATTTTTGCCATGTATCACGCATAAATTGTTGTCTTATATCGTAATTCTTGTCAATGGTATATTAACGACAGAAGAAACTGAAAGTTCTGTATCGTACAATTGCGAAAAGAGGACCATCGTTGTCAATGGTGCACCAACGATATGGCCTCGGCATAAAATTGATTCCTAGGTATAATCGCGCAATACAACGCAACAAATCCGAGTGTGTTACTTCGACATGCATAAATGTATGATTGATTGACGCTTTCTTTACACGTTTCTTGTCGTCAGAAAATTGGTTCATTCAACCAAACATATTTTCCGTGTAGACATGAATAAAACGATAGGACACGATGAGTCTCTCTACGCGAATTCTATCATACTCTGATACTCAATTAAATATTCTCCCAACGATAGAGTACAATAGAATACGATGAAAAGTGTTCATCGTACTCTATCTTTACGCGATATCATTTCTTTCGGATCCGATGCGGCAGAACGATAGATTGCGATAGAAAACAATGAGAATCTCTGTAGATCTCACCGTTCTCTATCGCTTTTTTCTTTTCGACGTTTTCCTTGATCAAAGAACTTTTGAACCTTGAACTTTACAATTTACAATTCAATATGAGCTATCTGTGATACTTCATAAAATAATCTCGTAATTGTAATCGCGAATATTCAACGGCCATATCGGCGCGAGCTTAGACGCGGTGCGGCGGGATGTAGGAGCGGCGAGGTAAGGACATGAACATTGATGCGTTGTCCTTCCTCTCGCCGCGCGCCGGCAACAGTTTCTTTGTTGACTAGGCAATGCTCTCTAACCTGAGCGGCTAGATGCTCCTCCCATAACGTCTCGGCGCGCGCTCATTCCTCAGATTTTTGTCATTAATAACTTGATAATTATTGCGAATTTCACAAAACGGTATGGGACTCTTATATTTGTCTCAACCCGCTCTATGTCTCCACGAGCTCTGCCAGATTTGTTATAAGACACCCTGTATGATATGTACGTATGTACATACGTATATATCTATGTAGATACGTATGTACATAGTATAAGTCTTACTTGTAGAAACTTATGTTATGTACACATATATACCTTAAAAAAATAATTTGAATTTGAAATTTTTTTAAATAACGCAATACGTGTTGCGCTTGTACTTGGCGCCTTTTTTTATTATCTTCACCGTAATTCACAGTAATTGAAAGGCGATCACCCTGGACGACGAGTCAATAAACACCGGTATTGATTTCTCGATGACATAGCTCATCACATCGTCTGCTCAGCATCAGCTGATCGGCAATCAAATGACGTGCGTCATAACATACCAACGCATACCAACATTCTCACCTTTTTATGCCTCTCTCTTTCATCCCTCTCGCCCGTTCTCTTTCTCACCTGTTCCCACCCTCCCCCCCTCTCTCTCTCTCTCTCTCCCCCTCTCTCTCTCTCTCTCTCTCTCTCTCTCGCTCTCTCTCTCGCTCTCGCTCTCGCTCTCTTTCTCTCTGTCACACATTTTCACCTCCTGTATTCTAGCAATATTCTTCTCTCTCTTACTCTCTATCACTTGCTCACTCGCACTCGCTGCTCTTTGCTTCTTCAGCGCTCTCGTAGTGCCCCTGGTGTCGGGAAAGCAATGTGCACGTTTTGCCCCACTCGTTTGCGTCCGACGTTTCTTACCGAATCGAAATTTTCCGTGATTCAGACTTTATCTTAAAATATCTCCACTTAGAGACAACGTACACAAAAAGCACAAGAACACTTTTCTTCCTATTTTTGAAGGCCGAATCGATTCGGTATAAAAAAACCTCGATCGGTTCGGCCATTGCTGAGATATGAAAATCTCACCTCGTTTCAACTCGGAGTTTCGCGTATAATAGGCACGGTGTGCCTCTTGATGAGAAGCCGGCAGAAACGTACAGTTTCGCAGATATGCGAATGTACTCTTGCATGTACTGTTGCACGTTTGCCTATTTCAATTTCCATTGAAATTGAGTATTTGAGTGTGAATCGCGCTTACAAGACGCGCACAAGGCATCTTGCTCGCTCAAGAGAGGAGGAAAATGGGATAACTGGGTGTAGAAAAGTGCGAGAGAAATATACATACGCAATGCGCCGACACAAGCTTAATGTTATACGCGAACTTATACGCGAACCAAGAGTCGGATAAGGATATTTTATTTGACGTGTCGTATCTTCGTAATATTCTTTTCCGCACTCTATGTTATTTAGCTAACTTTTAGTGGAAAATATTCCGACCGCGTACGCGCAGTCCGGTATTTGTTGAAGAGCTAAACCGCTGAAGAGAAAAATCGGCGGTATTCACGTCAATTTTTCCTTCACGATGCTCACGCGCAATAATAATGAACGCACGAGCAGCAGGCAAAAGAGAGCCCCTCCCACGTTGCTTAGGCGATGTAAAAGCGCAGTTATAACTTATTCCAAGTATAAAACTTGGTGGTATAACACTGGTCTATTACGTT